TTCAGGGAAACGAAGGATGTTTAAGTCACTAATTGTATTCTTTTCTGTTTTATATTTTCATTGCTTCTTAAGTCAGTTGAGTAAAGATCAAACCTGAGACCTCATCATTCCTGAAGGCTAGTGCAGCATTGCCAACAGAAGCACTATCACTTTCTGAACCCTGGGACTGCTACTGAGAAGCTCATCATGTTTCTTCTTCAACGCAGATGTCTCTGCAAAACCTAGATGAATACGAAAAAATGAAATCATTCATAGATCATTGTCTGCATGGAACAAACCATCAGTTCCATATCAGGAGAAAGTAATTGACTGAGGCATTTTCACTTGCAATTTCAAAAATTTCACCACTACAAGTCCAAGCACAATCTAACAAATCATTCTTATATTGCAAAAATCTCTCTCTCTCTCTCTCTCTCTCTCCCGCCTCTCTCTCTCAGGCCATCCATGCTCTGATTAGGGAATTCCCAAGCCATAAGCTAATCTTTTTTCTTCAATCACCATGGTCTCTTGCCTTTATTATTAAGAAAAGTTTCAGAAAACTCAACAAACTTGCATATAGGGAGGAACAATATCAGTACCATCATACGAATCCGGTCACGGTCTTCATCATTGAGGATGAACTGCAGCTTCAGACGCAGGTGTCCATGCCCAAGGGCAAAGATGTCTTCCCAAACACCTTTCTCAACTATTGACTTCGTATGAAACCCTTTCATAATATATTAGTCAGGTTTATCCTAGGGCCAAGTGAAATGGGAGTAGAACTCAAAATTTTCAAATGGGCAGTGTTCTGAGAGCTACCTATACGAGATATTTCATTCCCATCAGAATCCTGAAGTTTGATAATGAGATCCTCACGAAGACTAGCTAATGGGCTGCATGGGACAAACAAGCGGATTATAAACTTGAAGTCATCGTTAGAAATGTTGACAGAACAACATAGAACTTTCAGTTAATCTTACAAGGAAAAGTCTCCCTCCTCGCTGATGAGGGACTCTGTTTTCCCCATGGAAACTGCAGTCACCACAATTACCAGTATATAAATGACATTTTGAAGGGTGGCAGAGGGGAAAGGCTCGGATAAGCTGAAAATCAAGAGCAATTGCATACCCTTTATGGATGTTGAAGATAACGGAAGACCCATGAATTCCAGGACTGTAATATGAACGAGGAAGTGAGATAAAAACCAATGGTGATTCATAGTTGAATTACTTCCACAAGATGAAATTACCTGAGACCAGGATTGTTCCTGGCATTGCAGAGGGAGAATTCAATAAGATAAAAATTGCTTAAATCGGACAGACAAGGGACAAAAATACATGAGCTTGACAGTTAAGTATGTTAGACTCTTTTCAGTTCGTTCAAAGTCCTAAACTCAGTTGATTGAGCAAGAGATAGAAGATTGGATGGGATTGGACTATTGGAGGATGTGGATATAGTTAGAATCCTCAATCCAGAGAAATGAGCTATTGTGTCCCGGCGATTGTCAAAGTCCACTAGCCATTGATTACCATATTCAATGCCTGAAAACCATATTTATGGTTTGTCTCGTTTCAAAGTCCACGTCATGCTTTTTGATCCCTACAGTCTACCCACCAAACTGGGCAATCGCTCAAAATGGAAATGCAATGAAATTATTCAATGGAAAAAACGTCTCGGTAGATAAAGGTTTCATACTGTAATAAAAGGAGTGATATTTTCACCGTTTTCACGTGGCAAGTTTGCACATAGCACACAAAGACATGCTGAGTCAGATTATGCTGTTCATATCACTATCATTTCTTGTGCATGTGTATTTTTTTGTCAGTGTTAGGAGTGTCCACCTCCAACATCAACGAACGATTGTACACTAAACATTACACAACATGTCCTTGGTTCATTAGTAGAGTTCACATGCCCAAGGATCAAAAATACAAATTGATGAATAGGTAAGTGCCTATAGTAGGGCACATGGCACTCATTATCAATTGCAAGGTGTTGATGTTACATTAACTGACTGATGTTACATTACAATCATCCCACGATGTCCAGAGATTTTCATCCGGGTAATTAGACTAAATGGCTGCCCATGTCAATAAAGTAAAAAAAAATGAATTTGCAGTGTATGATGCTATCCAGTAAAAAATGGACTTCAACGTGCAATAATCCGAGCTTGTCAAGGTCTATCAATTGTGCTGAAGCTTTAACATGTCAGCATTTAGAAAACTGAAGTGGGAATCAAAACTTCGGTATGGTGTCAGCACGTAGAACTTGTTTGAGAATGGCTTTTTCTTCATCTATTTGCTTCTTCTCTACAGGGTCCTTGGGTTTCAGCTTTCTCTTTTCTTCCAACATCCATTTGAAAATTTCACGTTGTTGCTCATCAGTGATGGGAGCCCGCACTTCCTCAGGGATGGAGACAGGGAAATAGAGCGAGTCATCATCGAAAATTGAACCATTGAAGTTGAGGTTGTGGGGGGTTCAGGAACTTCAACAGCAGTTTTCTCCTTTTGCAATTTGTGACCTTTTCTGGTATGATTCTCAGTCCCGTCTTTCTTCTTTGGCCTTGAAAATAGATAAGCTGCAATAAATTACGGAGCAGAAACATTAGAAGGGCAAGGAAAAAAAACGTCTAGTTTATTCCTGCTGTCACCATTCAAAGAAAGAAAACTGTATGTCTGGGATTTAGGTAGTACAAGAAATGTTCTGAACACCAGAAACTTGGGAAGGGTAACAAACATTAACAATCGCAGAGAGAAACACTATTTTAATCATGACACAACAGCATACAATACATGTAGACATAGTCTAATCACTTATTCATCTAAGACACAACATAAACACCTATTCATCTGATCATCAACAACATTTATCGGGGAAAATTCCCTGAAGACAGCAAATTTAGTCAAGGGATTAAATTTAACATTAAACATCAGTCAAGAGGCAAATTGATGGTATGACATGAAATCAAATTGCAATGGCAACAAGTCAGATGGCTAATGGTTGAACGTGGTAAACATCGAATACGGATATACGAAGCAAAAAGAAGCACTTAATACTTGATATTCCAGTTGCATATTCAAGGCATCAAGATAGAACTAGTACATAACTAATAATGAAAAGGAGCCTCAACTTCTGGTACCTTTGGCATTATCTAAAAATACAATAAACATGTTAGACTACTAAGACAAGTTAAAAGAGCACGCCATGATGTGTCATCTCAAATGTAGATACGAGTTTGATTGAATTGGAAAGTAGACAAAGAGATGATAAAAAGGGTCCCATTCATAAACGGAATACAAGGAGAAAGTAAATGTTCCTACACATTAGGAGACACAGCCAAAAAAAATCGCTTGATTATAGGCAAACTATCAAACAACCAATCAAAGTTCTACTTGGCAATATATCGAACACTTGAAGGGCAGAATACACAAAACGTCAAAGAAGGCCGCCGTCACAGTGAAAAAAAAGTAACAACCAATCCATTAGCCAGTTTTTTGTCGACTAAAATGAGGGGGGGAATAGAATTTAATGACGCATTTCATATCGCAGCACCATGCGCGCGCGCACAAACAAAGAAAGAAAGAAACAATGGCTATTGTAAGCAAGAGATAGAAAATAGACCTGCAAAAGCAAAATTATAGATCAAGAATACACGCCAAATTGGCTTGCAGCGCTTCATGAGCGATTCTGTTGAAGACAGAGGCGGGGGCGGTGGCTGAGCGTCGCTCATTGAAGTTAACAATGAAGACTGATGAAGATGATGATCGTTTTCTGGTGTGGTGTGGTGGTCACAGAAACAGCTAGAAATTCAGTTTGCTTGTGATGAATTGATTCTCTTTCTCTCTCGCTAGTTTCCTCCCTCTACAGAAGAAGACGTCTTGCGCATGTTCTTTGATTCTCTGGGCGTTTCAAAAAATTTACAGTGTGAACCAATTTCGTCTTCCACAATCCTCAATCTGGCGCCTCACTGCATTTTCCATTCCTTCTCTTCTGCTTGGGAAGCGAATATTTGGGTTTTGATTATTTTATTTGAAGCCCATTGGGCATACGAATTGGGGATGAACACGTGGACCATAACATTGGGCGTTTTGACCCAATTGTAGGTTGTGATTTTTTTCAAAAGAACAAAATGGAAAATAAATATTCTTGTTACTATTACAATTTTAATTTTAACTTATAAATATATAGTTTTCATGAAATTTTATTGATATGCACCTCAATTTTACATGATTGTATATTATTAATTCCATTATAATTATAAATAGATTATTCAAGTCCTTTGGACTAGCTTTTAAAAGTAATTTTATGGTATACGAAATAAGTATAGGAGAAGAGTTTTGTTTCGAATTACATGAAAACACTTTTTTAAAGTGATTGTAGAGGGTTGTCAAGCTCACCAAATACAAATATAATGATTTTCGATAAGTGATACTCCTCCGTTCCTTATATAGGACCCAATTCTGAGTTGGTTTTGGTCCTCAATATAAGACCCATTTACATATTTATCAATTTTCTCTAAATTACCCCTATAGATATTTCTCAATCATAATCAAGTAGAAGAGAGAGAGGGGTTATTAAGAAAGATGATTATGGGTTTTAGGAAAATGTGTCACTTTTCTTATAATTAACTAACTTACCTAACTTTCTTAATCTAATCAAATTAGTTAAATGAGTCGATATTAAGGACCAGAGGAGTATCAAATATAGTTTATATTAAAATGTTATTATGCACTTATTATTAATAGAATTAGAATTGAGCATCTAACAATAATTATAAAAACAAAATTCAAAATAAACATGACATACCATGGAAGAAGAGAGATGTAATACTGACATTATATTTTTTTTCTTACCCTATATTTGCCATGAAGGAATTGGAGAAGAGAGGAGGGGAGGAAAATTTTAATAAGCTCGATTTAAAAAATTGAAGAAGTTGAGTTGTAAAATTTTGATAAAGAAAATATGTAAGATAAAAGAGTGAGCAAATTTAATTAAAAATTTTAACCTTGCTTTTCAAATTTTTTTAAATCGAGCTTATTAAATTTTTCTTTCTCCCTTCTTCGTTTTCTTTGTATCAAACAGACCCTTATCATTGCTGAACGTGTAGTTATCATTAGTAATAATCAATGTTATTAATCATCATATAGAACTTGTGGTTAAGTTTTAGGTGACTATTAATTCTCAAGACCCATAAGTTAAATTTTGGAAAAGTAATTGTCATTGATTTCATCAATTAGTAATAAACAAGGTTGTCCTTCGTTATACAGAACTGGTCATAATTATAATGGAATTTCAAATTTATTGGCAACATTGTGCTAATTTGATAAGAAAATAAACTTTTATACTTAAAATCTTGCGCTTCAAAATAAGTCGGGTCGAGTTAAGATTATTTTCAAGGCCATTGAGGTGGTCAATTCAAGAGAAAGAGAATGACTAAAAATTAAATGCATCATAATATCTATTAATTGGAATGCCGATATCCTAATAATTAATCAATTATCAACTTTATACCACCCAGTACTTCACACAGGGAAGATTTTTAGTTTTAAGAAAATCAAAACACATTTTTAACAAATAACTAATTTAACTAATTTTTTTTAATTTTTGTAAATTAGTTACCTAACTTTTATATCATAAACCACCAAAACTAGTACTACTGTGGTCCTTGATATAAGACCTTGTTTAACTTTTATTTTGGTTCTAAATATATGACCCCAATCTACTTTGTCTCTCATAATTGTATTTTTTTCCTAAAATAGCCCTTCTAATAATGATAGTTCTAATCAATACACTTGATTAATAAGGATATTTTATGGAAATGCAACACCTATTTAGGATAAATAACTAACTCAACTTACTTCTTTAATTTCTCAAATTAGTCAACTGGTCTTATAATAAGGACCGGAAGTAGTATTTGTTAAGGCACGCGAAATGTCAGCCTAATATTATATTGTTGGTACCATAATGAAGTGAGTACAGCAGCATCACATGAAGCAATGCCCTGGAGACAAGGGAATTGTAGGGGACATACACAATTAAAATGAGCATATAATTAAATCTCCAATTATTGGATACTCACACACACACAAAGGCTTTTGTCTGCTGCAAAAGTAGCTGCTGTTGTCTGTGGGTAGGCGTATAGCAGAAAACTGGAGGAGCCCTTCTTTCTTTCGTACTTCAATAATTTCTTTTTTCCCGCTTTCTTCTTTGGCTCTCTCTCTCTCTCTCTCTCCATGGATCGATCTCATATACACAGAGTGTAGGCAGAGAGAGAATCTGAATTTATATTGAATGAAAGAGGTACTTGAAGGTTGAAGATGATGGAGGGCGGCCTCTGGCTGCATGCATGCGCCCGTGATAATAAAAATCCAAAACATGACTCATCTCTTTCATGATTTTGATAACCTCAACAACATCGTTAGGGTTAGG